ACTGCGCGTCTTCGATGGGCCTTCAATACTGCTTTTCAACTCGGTATGATTAATATGACTAAAATACCTTTCTGTACCTTGGCTCGAAGGCGCAGCAGCTGTATAATCTCTTGGTTTTCCCCAAGGAATATTCTGTAGCGCTTCTCCCCATAGTGTCAGTAGGGACCATTATGTTGATTCTCAGTGTTCATTCTAACTAACTTCAACCTGCGAGATGATGCAGGAACTAGAGCTGTGATTCTCAGAGCACTTAACGCTCCTCTCAGGAAACAAAAATCCGGCATGCGTGTGACAAATTGCCTGGCATCTGTAGCATTCTTCAAGCTTCACAGATCTGATTCTTTTTTCCACTCAGACATCAAGCCTCAAGAAGCTTAGGATTCTCCGAAACTTCACGTGACTGCTCTTCACAGAGAAAGCAGAATCAATCTTCAATTCTTCCGCGATCTCTGCATAAACATTTCAAGTCAAATCAAATCAAATCAAATAACCCTTTATTGTTCTATAACATAAAATGTTTTCATCAAAGCTTTTAAGACAAAAGGAATAGGAATAGTAGAACAAACGACACCAAAATCTAATAACGGATAAAACTTTGGTAAGCATTACTCGTCAGTTTCAGGCTTTGACCTATAGTGCATCCTCAAAAAATTCCGTAGCAGAATAATAGGCCTTTGTAATGAGCAACCTCTTCATCTGCATTTCAAATATTCTGGGGGATGCCGAGTCTTTAATGTCAAGGGGAAGGTAGTGGAAGATATTAACACTCTCATAAAAGACAGATCTCAGACAGGATATCGGGGGTTTCTCACCATGAATCCTGATTGGTACTTAAAGGCGATACAAGCAGTTTCAAGGATGTATAGACATGGGAGAGTTAATATATTCTTCCGAAGAAAAAGTGGTCGACATGAATCCCGGGAAAAGCAATACCATACCGAAGAGAGGATTCAAATAGTGAATAATAAACCAACTTGCCAATCCTCGGGCCAACTTCCTGAACACTAATCCTAACAGCAAAACAACCAGATGATAGCTTAGTGGCAAGAAAATGTATATGTGTGTGGTACTTGAGCTCTGCGTCTATGAAAATTCCAAGAAATCTGCTGTTAGGTTTGATCTCAACTGGAGCACTATCTATAAAAATATCTGCAAGAGTACATTTAAAATATTTGCTTCGTTTTTGTGGGATTCAATGTTAATAGGTTAGAGTCGCACCAAGTCTTGACAGTCTGGAGATCATGCAAAATGATTTTACGGAGGGAAACAGGGCTCGGAGCTTGCCACATTATTGTATAATCGGCGAATATGGTAAATTTTCCACGAATCTGAAGATAAGCAAGATCATTATTGTACAGCAAAAATAGGAGCGGACCCAGAAGCGAACCTTGTGGCACTCCCCATTCAATTGGTTGGTAGTTGGAGCACTTAGATCCTATGAAAACACGTTGTTGTCGACCAAGCAGATACGACACGAAAACCAGCGCAAAGAAACTCCACTAAACCGTAGTGGTGAAAATTCCGCAGCAGAATTTCCTGGTTAACATAGTCGAAAGCCTTCGATACGTCACAAAAAAATGCAAATTCCTGCAATAAGTAATTAAATTTCGTTATCGATTGAAAAGAGTTCTGTTTTAAGAAAATTTCATTACTTAAAATCATACAGCCTCCATGTATAGACTAGACTGAGTTCTACGAAATCTCGAAAAAACCACATAATCCGACATTTAAAACAGTTCAACCGGCCTCAACCAATGTTCCGTCAATAAAACTATATTTGGCAAGTTGTAATCCTTTAAAAAGAGTTCATTAGTTTTATTCCTTCACGATTGAATGTTAAGTAGCATCGCTGAAAAATGTTCACTTATGTCATTGTCCACTATAAATTCACTGTTGCCTCCCTCCTGGGTTGTTCTAAAAAAGTATTGGTGTTTGACGCATGTGGCTGTTCCTGTTCAAAACTCAGCATTGGCGTCTCAAAAGAATCTTCTTTTTCGGCGGTAAAGGAGCTTTAGAATTCAGTGCATTACTGCTGTTTACATCAGAAATTGACGCCACAACATTCAGGATGAAACAGTATACCTACTAAATATTCTGCTAAAAAGTTTTTTTGAATAGGACCCGGTGAAGTCAGTGGCACAAACGTTGCATTGGATAGTTTCCTAGAACAGTTCTCAATTCAAAAATTCTGCGTTTTGTTCAGAACCGGTCGGTGGAGGTTTAGGGTTGGTCCAATTTAAAACTAGGTTTGTATGCTGAAATTAAATGAGTTTCTTCTTCAGCCCGCACAATCCTATATCATTACAGGAATCTTGCGGGTCAGTGAATAAAAACACAAAATGCTTCTGAGTGAAGTGCCGGCAGTAGGGCAAAGTCAGGTCAAGTAGTTCTCCTATAGAGGCCTTTCCCATTCTTTGGCTGTTTACATCATATTTCTTGTGGAGATAATTTCTTTATAGAGGCTGTGGAATTTGTAATGGCAGAATGAGGGTTAGGTACCGATACAATAGGGAACTTGCACATTTTTTTTTAAATTTCAAAAATGTGTTCTACTACACTAAAGACTTAGTCATACCAAATATCGAGCATTAAAAATCAGCCGTTAATTTTTTATAAATATTTAAAGTTACGCTCGGAGCACTTCGAACTTCGAGCAGGTAGATTTATATTATGGTTATGTTGTTATGGTTATGTATGCCATTTACGATAGATTTGACAATGTCGATACCAGCAGCACATGGTGTGGCCGCGGCGCGACCCGATTATTACTGCCTTGTGACGTCAGGAACCATAGAAACACGTTTTCGATCGCGTAATGAATTTCGAATTATTTGGTATTTTCAATTGAAGATTTTAGACACCAGAGATAAGATATTACTTTTTTTTCCTAACTGCATCAATTATTAGGATGTTTGTTATTGTGTTTTATTATTTATTCCATTTTTAATTTAATGTGCAAGTTCCCTATTGGAGGCATGTTCTTGTCCACTGTGATGGATGAGTTATCAACCTTTATCTTCTCCTGCAGCCCATTCCATTTCTGCTGTATTTCCTTTAAATCCTTCAGGAAGCATCCATTTTCAATTTCCAATGTTTCTATTGAGGTTAACAAGCTTTTGTTCAATTGGTTCAGCTCTATAATTCTTGTTTCAAAAGCTGTCGTTGCTTCTTGCCATGCTTCCGACTGCTTGATAAGACTCAGTTCGTTGATTTTTAAGGTGGCAACTTCTCTTACCCGTGTCGAATTACGTAGATTTAAGGAGTCTAGTTGAGCTGCAAATTTGCCTTCAGCCTCAAAAACAACATGTGTCGGATCTTGTTACGAAGATCCAATTTAGGTGATTTTCTTTTTTCTTTTGAAACCATGTCCTGCTCCTGTCTGTCTTTGAGAAGAGTTTGGCATTGTTCAGAGCAAATGATTCTGTAACCACCCAACTGTATTATTTCTTTGAGGCGTTCCATACAGCTTCGATAGAACATGCTATTGCAATAGACACAGCAAAAGCTAGTAAATTCTTTTCTACAAAATTTAAATCGTCGCTGCATCTTAGTGTGACGTGCCGAATAATTTATTATCAAAATAGGGACTATTTGGAGTGCACCACTCACTCAATTTTGCAATGCAGCAAAGTCTTTATTTTATTTAGATACCTAACGGTTATGCATGCGAAAACTCCACACCAAAGAATACCAAATCTATGGGTTGTTTAGATTATTTTGCGTTTGCAGATAAGGAAATAGATTGATATAAAGGTACACTTTTCGATTGATAATAATCAACAGATTATAGTGTTCAGCTTCTCTCCCTAGAGCTGTTACGTGAAGCATGGCTTCTTCTCCACATCCCTAGATTAGTCAAAGACCTCCGGCCTTATCTGGCAATAAGAAAGATTTTCGTTCACCTCCCAATTATTTTGCGCGATCGAATTTGATCTTATTGGAACATAAACCTCATGACATCATAATTCAGTTGCGGTGCCTTAGATGGTGACAGCTGATGTCTTCTACGCAGCTCCGGCATACGATACCTTGTGAGCTGTTCGGCTGCATCTTCAGATTCTACTTAGATCTCTGCTATCAAGCGCCTAGAACCATATCATCTTTAGATGCTCCCCGGTGATTGAATCGCTGGCGGTCTTGCCTGGGAAGAGCCTTTCCCTCTCTTTCGCTTCATCGGAAGCGTGATCTTCTCGACTTTGTGTGAGCTGCACATGCGTGATTTAGCTCTCCAGATTCCAAATCACCGCCATCATCTCCTCCATATCCTTGATTTGCGCGTCGATAGTCTCTTGCATTTCCATCATTCTCCTATCTGCAATCTCATGGCTTTCTTCTTCTCCTTCATCTTGGTATCGTGGAATTAAAGTGGGCTGTCTGACATCCTTGGGATTGGTACCTTTCTGGATAAACCCAAGCAAAGCTTGATGATTAAAGGTGAATAAACATTGCAAGTTTGATAACTAAAATCTACTCTGAGTCGCCTGGTACATGAAAGAAGTAATTTGCTTTAGAGTGAGCCTGATTCTGCCAACGAATGTACCTACACATAATATTATTTATGAAGAAAAGCTCAATTTCACATCAATAACCATTTCGACCTTTCTGGAAATAGCACCCAATTATCATTAGGCTGGGTATCGTTTATTCTACTGAATGGAATATTTATAGCATTAAGTCAGTTGAGGCTCTACCGAACAATAAATTATATTATCGTTTTGGAACAACCCCTATTTGATCCTATTAAATATAACTTTGGCTCATTCGAAGTCAGCAATACACCGATGATTAAATTTAATTTTGTCGGATTTACGGTTAGTGAGCGCGTAATGGCTACAATTTGTAAACCTCTAATTGCAATTTACTTGCCTGAATATTGAATACTATTACTAAAATAGATAAACATAAAACGTTAATCATCTAGTTATAGAGCAAGCGTCGTATCATCTCATTAAGTGACTTCCAATAATTATTGTTTATTTTTTGAAATTTATTATTTCTAGATATCTGAGGGATACACAACATTTTATTGACCGAAGGCGCGTTGCAGTATGGGGATGGAGTTATGGTGGATTTGTGGCATCTTTGGCTTTAGCCAGCCCCAAGAGCGTGTTTCAATGCGCCATTGCGGTTGCACCAGTTACAAATTGGAAACTTTACGGTAAGTTTTGATGATGTATTCCATACATATTACAAACATTTATACATAATTTTGAAACAAGTGAAGTTCTATCTCGTCGCATTGCCGCAATTGTAGAATTTTGTTTAATTAGCAAACCAACAAATTTCGTGCAGTTCAATCCAAATGCTTTGGTGAAAAGTATAGGCATATTTGCTTGTTGAATAATGCATCAATGCATCCAAATGTCAAATTCATTACGATTCGTTAAATGCTTGCTAATTTTTATTTATCTTTTACAAACTCGAAACTCGACCCCTCACGGAAAGTGTTCTATATTTTTTTATATTCAACTCTTTATCTACCCTTTTGTTATTTCAAAAATGGAATAAGTAAACAAAAATATGTACATGAATAAATACCTAAAATAATAATAGACCTGGAGCTTAGAGCTATACAGGTCTTACAAGTTCAAATTTCATAACTCAAGAATAGGAATAAAAATTAATAGAAAATACACATTTGGGTTCTTAGCTACTCGAAAAAATTCTTGAATATTAAAGAATTTGAATCCTTCCCGGAGACACTGAATCTTGGCTGGACAATCTTTCAGTACATAAGAGAGTCTATTATAGTAAGCAAGACCCTGAACAAAATACATTTTTCTTTTCTTTTTCCTCCAGTTGTTTACATTGCTTCTAGTTGCAGGATATTTCTTTGTCATATAACGATCAAGCTTACAGCTTACTATGACAATAGTGTTCCTGGGACAAACTTAAAAAGAAACTTGGTTTAATGTGTAAATTTCTTATTCAATTTTCTTTATTCTCAACATAATAAAACAAGCTTTCTATTCTAAGTAAACACAATGCCTAACGAGTTCGTTTGCTTTTTCCACAGACTCGGCATATACGGAACGGTATATGGGATTGCCTAACGTTACGGAAAACTACAAGGGCTACGACGAAGCCGACGTTAGTAAGAAAGCGAGTCAGCTCAAAGATAAAATGTTTTATCTGGTTCATGGTTCGGCGGACGACAATGTGCACTTGCAGCAGAGTATGGTCCTCGTAAAAGCTTTGTCCGATTCCGATACGCTTTTCAGACAACAGGTTTGTATCAAAGTTTATCTCAATTTTCCCGGTTTTTTTTTTGTTCTGTATATTTTCTTTTAGTCTGTTTCCAAGCTAGGGAATAATGAAGAAACTCGTGCGAATTTATATAAATGCAAATGGGTACAAAAAAAAAGATTTGCTTAGAGGTATTTTTTTTAATTCCGATTTTTAGGAATGATGCAAACAAAAGTTAAGCAATGATATCTTGAATTTTCATAGTTTGTAGGTACCTACCTTGGCCTATCAGTGACCTACGTCGCTTACACAGATAATGTATCGTATCTTTATACTGTTACATATAATTTTCACAAATTTTATCGTCTGGTATATAATTTAAGGGTTTTGGATTTTCGTGGCACGCAGACGTTTCAGTTAAAATTGATGGAAAATGTTCTTGCCTCGACTAGGATTTGAACCCAGGACCCTCGCATTTCCAGAGCAACGCTCTACAAACTGAGCTACCAAGACCTGTTTCATTTCTACTTTTTTGGCCAAATCTTTCATCAATATTAAGTAGTTAGTTGTGAAGACCAATGGCAACCTTCGGCGGCTATCGCTGGTATGGGAGTGAGTTAGAAGGTATAAGCAGGGGAACACAATCGCAATTATCGCAAAATCGCAATTTTAATTGAAACGTCTGCATACCACGAAAATCCAACACACTTAAGTTATATATAATCTTTATACTGTTTCTCGAGCCGAATTGTTGCGGCTTTTCCGTCAACTGCCAAGGATGTGCCGACTCAATTTTGAACTTTTAATGATTTAATCGATCATCACGCTTTGCGCCAGAATTATTAATTGGAGCCTCAATTTCTAAATTCAATTTAAGCAAGCCACAACTTCCAGGGAAAGGAACTTTTTTCCAAAGATGCACGATGCACATTTTCAGGCAAACATTTTTTTTTAGGTTTCTCATACTCACTGAAAAGACAATAGTCGTCCAACAACAGGGATTTTTTCGGAATTATCAACACCCGAAGAATTTGATACTCCAGCAGTAAAATGTCTACAAAATTTAGCAAAGCTGAGTCAAAAATAAGTACAGTGGGTTTCATTCTCTTTGATACCATTTCACTCAGGTGTAACATGTAACATGGTACCACACCTGATTAAAATGTAATCAAAGTCACACAAAATCACGATAGCACCCCAAAATTTTCAAATGAGACAGTGGGTCGACAGATATGTTTTAAATTTGACCTCACTGTTGCAGAATAACACCCGTTTAAATATTTACAAATACACATTTTGTAACATTGCAAATGTTACTTGTTCCTTTTTTCTTTCAAAGGATAACGCACACCTAACATGGTGAAATGTTGTAGAGGATTTAATTCTGAACAACCTTTAAATGGGACGAAATCTTGTAGGTACTACGGTCTTTGAGATATGAGCGTTTACAGATGAACTTTTTTTTGCGACTTTTTGTGTGGAGAGTATACGAAAAACTGGTGTTTATCAGCCAGTATTTTGACAGGTCGACATATTTCACGTCACTAACAAATGTCAACATAGGCTAAGGCCGGGGCCGCACTGGCGCCAACATTGACCCCAGTGTGATCCCGGCCTTAACCTATGTTGACATTAATCACACATTAATATTTAGTGACATAAAATATGTGAACCTGTCAATATTTTAACTGATAAACACTAGTAGCACCAGTATCTCGTATACTCTCCACACAAAAAGTAGCAAAAAAGTTCATCTTTCAACTTTCATATCTCAAAGACCGTAAAATACCTACAAGATCTCGGCCCGTTTAAAGGTTGTTCAGAATTAAATCCTCTACAAAATATCAAAAAATGGAAAAAATCCATAGAGCCCAAAAATCCCATGTTAGGTGTGCGTAATCCTTTAATTTTATATTACCTTTTAAAGTTGACAGTCTGGTGACTAGCATTAAAAAAAAGGGTTTCTGCTACTTATAATATTTGAAACTATTAAATTATTGAACTAGAGGGCACGATTTTCGTTTAAATTTGACGTACCAGTTTAGTACCAACGCTTTCCGTTGACTATTTTCAGGGGAAGCGCTGTCTGTTCACCTTGTCTGTTTCATTTCTCTGTCCTTTTTAATTTTGTCGTTCGAGCTGAAAGATCGATCCTGTCTGGGAGCAGCCATCTTCTTCAGCTGTGAATAGCGTTCTCCTGGAAAAAAGTCCCTTATCGGCCATAGGGGCCTATAACACAAACACTACAAGCTGAACAGTACATACAAATAAATTATACAAGTGTAGATATTCTATAACACAAAGTAATTTGTAGTTCCTAGCGGGGCACTCGTTGTTACGGAACTTTCTGCACAATTGTAGAATCTTTCAATAACACAACCACCACCCTTGTACACTTGTGTTACGGAATTGACCTTTTCAATTTAAAAGCGTCTCTCTCTGGCGTCAAACTGTCAGACGCCAAAAGAGTATGAAAACAACGGTTGGCAGCCGCTGACAGTGGTTTGTTGACAAGATTTTTGTACATGTGGAAACTGGAAACTATTATTTCCTCGGTTTTTTCAAAGTTTTTTCCTAACAATGGTGATTGTGTAGTGTGCCTTTTTGTGAAAATAATTTCTATTTACCGGCGGACGTGTCTCTCCATAAGTTTCCATCAAATTCTACATTTGTCAAATTTTGAATACATAAAATCAGAAAGAATACTCGCAAAAAAAAGGGAAATCCACGGCCTATCAAGTATACAAAGTAATCCACGTTCAAGTTTAGTTTGCGGGAGCTGTTATCTTCCAAAACAATCCACCGCTTTCTCCATAGCCAAGTTCTGCAAATGAAGTAGTGACTTTTCCCACATTTTCTTTCAAAACACCCAATACATACTGGCATTGACAAGCAAGCAAATGTTGGCGGGAAAATGATTGTTTTCATACTTTATTGTCCATCTCTTTTAATTGAAAACGTCAATTGTCAACAATTGTAAAAAAATTTCTATCTATTCTAAACGCTGCGCTGGGTAGATTCAGTGTAGTGAGGTCTTCCACCGTGAAAGTACCATTTTACTTTTACTGTCTATATTATGTGGGCTAGTGATTCAGAGAGTGACAACGAAAATGTTCGTGCAGTATATCGGTACCGAGAGAGAATTACCTTTGGCATACTGCCAGACAGAGAATTTGTGGAAAGGTTTAGGCTAAATCGCATTCAGTGTGAAACTCTTCTTCAAGATATAGGCCTAGCAATCGCTAATCGAACGAATCGATGGTATGGCTTGTCACCATTACAGAAACTGCTTATTTCTCTGCATTGGTAACGGAGGGTAGTACCATGGGGTATGTGATATGCATGGGGTGTCAAAGATGACCGTTTGCAAATGTGTTCACGAAGTTGTTGGTGCCGCGAACGAAATAAAATTTGATCATTAATATTGACGCCCCCACGAATAATGAACCTGCTTACGTCGACCGCCATGGAAAACATTTAATCAATAGACCTATATAATTTACCAGACAAAAAGGTAATAATACGAAAACTTCATTAGATAAAAAAAGACACAGAACGCTCATTGCGCAAGACGAGGCAAAACGTACCAAATTATGTTAGACTTACGTATGGCAATCCGTCCTTCTTATTTGCACGGGATGAAAAGGGAAGGAGAAAGACCGTGTGTTATGCAACGTATTTGCCAATGAAAATTTCAAACAACTTTTGAATGTCACTTGTCAAGCTATGTCAAGATGAATTTCAGCCGTACGTTTATTCTTGCCAAACCACGGGCAATAAACAAGGATAAGAAGATGTCCAGCGTGCAAAACGAACAACTCACACCTGTACTAGTTAGCCAATGAAAAGGCATTGCCTCGTGTTGCGCGCGCATACCAGGTAAAAATAGATAGGTCTATTGCATGGCCGTGTGTGGTCCTGACTTGAAGTTTTATTATGTAAGTGCAAACTGGCCCGGAATTGTGCACGATGCACGGGTCCTTCGTAATAGTTCTCCGGTTAGAGACCTCATGCTAATGAGGTAATTCTCGGAGATTCCGCTTATCCTTTACGTGAATGGTTAATTCCACCAACCTATGACGATCCGATGAACCCAGCACAAACCGCTTTCAACGGAGCTCACAAACGGACTCGGCGCATTATAGAAAACGCTTTCGGTGTATTGAAGGAAAAATTTCCATGTTTGAACCACCTACTGCTTAATCCAGTCTTCGCAGCCAACATTTTTAAATGTTGTGCAATATTGTGTAATATTACAAAAAACAATAAAGATGTGGAATTGAATTTTGAGGATGATGAAGGTGACGGAAACAACCGTAGAGATGACCAACTGCCACCAATTGCAGCTCGAGCTAGATTTCAACAGTTGAGTGACTATTTTAGAGTAAATTAGTGTCAAGAACGAAAATAAACCTTATTATGCCTACATTAATGGATTATAACTGATTAAACTGTTACAAAATAAATGATCCAAGTTATTCCTGCCCATAGGATCTTGTAATTTTGGAGTTTGAGGTGTTCAATTTGCAAATTATGCTTTTCTTGCTTCTTTTCATCAGAAATGCCCTCTCCTGAATTACTCGTTCTACGCTTTCGTTTCCCTGCAAAATTGTTGGACAAAAGTCAACATATATATTTCTGTATGTAACAAGTGCAACATGAAATCTGTCGAAATAGACCGGAGGTCGAATTTGACCACACGTACGTGGGCACGCCAGGGGTCCAATTTTTGGGAATTCACGTTTATTTGCGTATGCTTAAAGATGCGCACGATATGAAACGTATACTTTTCTTTGTACCAATTTTTGGATGACATGCGCAAGTCAAAAGACGTCTGAGTTAAGCATTCGTAACATTACGCAGGGTTGATCAGGCAACACTGCAAATTGAGAGATTTTTTTACTATTGAAGGAAAAAAATAGGTTGTGAATACTGTCGACTTTTGACAAATTTCTACTTCAAATTTCGGACTATGATGTCGAAAAACAAGAAGAAACGGAGTGCAAATGCATCAGATAGGTAGAAAAAATTGCTCGTGAAGT